TACACTTATGTTACCTCCTAGCTTAACCTTTCCACACTTTTATCTCTTTGATGTTAACTAAAGATTTGGTGGTACCAATTCCCTATACAAATTCAAGACATAATAATAATTAAGCAAAAATGTCAGAGAGCAAGCTATTTCCACTCATGCTGTTATCAGGCAGAATGGAAGACCCTGGGCTAGTGTGCAACCTCAAGAATAACCACACCTTTGGCAACTTCAGTGAACTTTGATGAGACAGTTCAGGGATGAAGGTGGCTGAAGTGGCCGTGAGCCAAACGCAGGCAGCATCTGGAAGCTGGAAAAGTCAAGGGAGTGGTTCTCCCCTGGGCCTCCGGAAGGAACACAGCCCTGCCCATACCTCGATTTTAGCCCCGTAAGACCCTTTTTGGACGTCATTTGTTACAGCCGCCACAGGAAACTCACATACCAATAGGTATCTAGCTCTTGTCCATGACCAAAAAGAATATCTAGGACTAGGACAATCATCAATCTCTAATCTACCAAGTCACCTTGTTGATAAAATAGCCAAACTCTGGGCTGATTTTAAGAGATAGGGCTCGATGGTAGCAGAGGTTCTAATAGCTGCTGGTGGTCTGAAGTGAGATGTTTGGCATCGAGCACTTTCGGAGAAGTCCGGCTTTTTAAGGCATAAACCAGCAGAACTGTTCCTTCTCTCTTCAAATGCTATGCTTAAGAAAAAAGAATTTTTCCAAAGGTAGTGCAATGTTTACAAATGCGTTTATTACAGCCTGTCAGTCATGTATCTAGCATTCAGCTAACATGTTTTGAACCGAGTTGCAATATTCCTTGACTTAAACTCTGAATCTTTGCCATTCAGGTCTGTGAGAACTCCTGACGTCTGACGCTTGACTACCAAGTTTCCATAGCAACAGGAAAAAAAATCCAAATCGGAAGATTGCCGTTTACAGCTTTCGAACTTCACAACTAGGCCTCAATTGCTCCAGATTTTCCTTTTCTTTGCCATTTCACTTAGTCTGTACTTCACCATTTTGACCGCATCTTCCTTTCTCCTTTGATTAATGGGATTCTCTGAATTTCCCCTGAGTGTTTCAAGATCATGGCATTTCACGTGCCCTCCGGGAGCAGGAACAATGACTACTTTTTCTGATGTGTTGCCACATTGCTAGTCAGCAGTCCACACCTCCAGCTGTGTCTGTGGGTTAGTATCTGTATATGTATGAGTATCTGTGCGTGTACATATCAGTATTTATAGAGCGAGATGAGATAGGACAGCCCAGTTTTGGTGTGTCATTCTCCCTTGAGAGGCCAAACAAAAAGGGATGGAGGCCGGCAGCTGACCCTCCATCCCCCCCGCCACCCCTGCATCAGGACCTCAGCAGCAAGCTGGGCATTAGCGCAGACCAGAGCTGATGCTTCCCCACCGTCCCATTCGATCTGGATGCTGCCACGACCAGCAGGCAGGTCAGGAGAGAGAGAGAGAGAGAGAGAGACACCTTTCTCTTCACCTGAGGGCTACACCCAGTTTTCACTGCCATCATATGCCGAGATCCTGAGCAAAAGTGGTGGGGAGCAGAGCAGGAAATGTTACCATCAAATGCCGAGCAAAGGGCTGAAATATTCGTCCCTGGGCACCTGTCTGCATTTGTACGTGTCCTAAATCCACAGTCCCCCTCTGGACGTAGTTCTTATGGGGACACGGATCATGGCAGAGAACCCCTCCCTCCTTGGTACATTTGCGATTGCAAGTGTCATCCTGGAGGTCACACGTGCATATGAAGAGGCTGACAGATACCACGTGTATACATATACTAGTATATGCCCACATGTATAGACATACACTTACGCGCATACACGCCGTTTGTTTCATATACCTGCATAAAATAGAGTAAATACAGGTAGTTTTAAAAGTACCCTTTTGTGTGAATCGACTACAGTTGTTTGCAAACCTACAAATAAAAGACGTTCGTTATGTTTGAAACGTAATTGATTTTGATTCTGTGAGCATGTCAGCGTAAGAGGAAAGTTAGTGCTTGTACTAAGATTATCTTCTTGTCGATAAACTGTAAATGAACCATCCAAGCTCACACCAAATTTTTCTATCAGATAAAACTAGTGACAGCCCGTGGCTTTTTACTAGAGCTCGCCACAAACTAGGGTCAGTGTCTTAGCACATTTTAATGCAGTTGCTCACTGAAGGTTTTAACCACACACGCACACACGCTTTCTTATGCAGTCTCTGTTGGCATCTGTGCTTTTCCGTTCGCCTTCTGTAGGAAGTAGAAGTCATATGTTGTCTTTACTGTAGTAAAATTATACAGATAGAGTTCCATATATTGTATTTGTTTCAACAGTAAATCTTTTGGAGCATATAGAATGCAGAGATTTTTTTTTTCTCCATTGAAATAAATGGGTATTGGTGGTTAAAACTGCTGGACAACAGCTTTTCTCTGGTTTCTATGTTGTGTCTACTTACCGTCACTAATGCTGAGTCTTGTCTTAGTGCAAGTTCCCATTTTTGGCTTTGTGGGCTTCCCGTACATCCCTCATTAGGTGAGTGAGTCCATGAAGCCAGAAGCACCCCCCACAGCTCAGGCCACCCACTCGTCTTACCGTAATGAATGATGTGGGCATTTCACAATCCACTGTGAAGATGATTGCATACTTACAGAGGAGCAAGATCACCCTCAATTTGATGATGCCTGACACGCAGTCCCAACCATCTGCCTACAGTCCCAGGACATGGGTGTTCTTTCTCTGGAACAATTCCTGTTGCTCAGTCAGGAGATGCCACGTGCCCCGAATATGACCTAATAGTTCGCCACGAGTGCGCGTGCAGGCTTAGGGTGGGGGATGTGCATTCACACTTGACGGAACTTCCTCTTCTGGCTTTAGAGGGCACAGCCTCCTTCCCCCTGTTGGACTCACTCCCCTCTTCCCTAGAGGCAGGGGGAGAATGGTGACCCTGCGAGGACCGTCCTCAGGTGGCCAGGTGCTTGGCAGCCTGACCCAGAGGCTAACTGAGAACCCGAAAGCTCACCCTCCTGCATGAGCCTGGGCCGGCCCCCGGAAGAAATACCAAGGCCAGGGACCCGCTCCCTCAAGTGAGCAAGTGAGGCCTCCTCTTCTCTCTCAAGCCAGGAGGCACTCCTGTTTTGAAAATGGGTATTTTTCTCTTGAAAAACAGAAATCAAGCCAGTGGCTTTACTTAGCCTAGAACACGGAGAAATGGGAGTGAAGTGCATACTTCATTACAAGTTCAATGTGCCCTAATTCGCCTCTATTTAAGTACACTCCCTGTCCCCAGAGTTCTTACCAGGACAGAGATAGTTCTGTTGTTCTTAAAAAAAAGTAAACTCTTCTTTAATATAATTCATTCAACTGATCAATTAATCTGTTTTAATTCTGCTGAGGACAAATATCCTAATCACATAAATACATTTTCATTTGAACAGCTAGAGTCATTAATTCTGTATATTCCAACTTATAAGGGCTCTACACTAAATATATTAGTGATTAAGAAACCCATGTTCAAAGTTTGCATAAAAATCACCCAGAATAAATTAAAATCTACACTTAAAACCCTGAAATACTTTAAAATAAACAGAATTTGTCTTAAACACACACACACACACACACACACACACACACACACAAAACAAAGACCAAGTCTTAGAAGCCAACGTGTAGCATGTCCTGAATTATAGGATGCTGTTTACTTGCTAGAAAGCATTTACCTTGTTTACTGAAAGTAAAAGTCTATTGCAAACACTATGTCATTATTATCAATGCATTTAATTGTAACCCAAGTTATTGGAAAAAGAAAGTCAAGTAAAAGCCAGAAATTGCTTTTCCCGATGACTGACCACGAGGTGAAGGCTTTGTTTCCATTGAGTGAACAGTCATACCTCCTTGGCTTTTTAAACACAACAACCACCTTAATTCATTGAAAATGACATTTCCCACATTTTACATATGATAAATTATTTCATGTGTATGTTTTAACAAGAACGTGCAAACGTTTTCTAATTTTGATAAAAGTTACCTCAATACTGCCAGCTCTCTCCATAGAAGGTCATTTCAGGAGGACGTGCCTGCATGACTCTCAGCCAACACTTGCAGATTTGAACGTCCTCACAAAATAAATCCAGCTCCATTACATGGTAGGTAGCAAATAGGACTTTGATTCTTAAAGAACATTTTTAAAAATTTTGATAACTTATCCCAGAATTTCAAAATGTCATTTAAAACCTTCTGTTCAATGAAATAACCATCTACTATCAAACTCTTGAAATAGATAAGATTGCATTTCATCCAAAATAAATACATTGGGTATCGATTTAAAGATGTGGCAACTATTAAGTATTAACCTGAGTCTGCTGGATGCTGGGTTTAGAGCAGCTGTGCCAACACACAAACTGTCCACGTGATTCTGAAGGAGAGAGTCTACAGTCCTCTTGGCGTGTACAAACAAGGTACAAAAATGCAGTTAATGATGATGGTGATGATGATGATGGTGATAGTTTACATTTATTAATTAATTGCTTATTTTATTAATTGCTTGGTATGGTGCCCACACTGTGCAAAATCCTTTATACCTATTAACTCACTGAATTTTTACAACAGCCTGTGAGGCAAGTGCTATTTTCTTCTCTAACTTACAGATGATGAAAGCCAAGGCTCAGTAAAATCTAATGGGTGGCCCGCGGTGAGTGGCCTTCAGAACCAGAATCCAGGGCTCATGTCGTTCCCACTCTAGCTCAGGGCCCCTGCCAACTCTGCGGCGAAACCAGAGAAAGTGCCACTTCAGACCAGGAAACCCTCATCTGAGCCCCAATTAGCATGACTGTCTATCCAGACCAACTAACCAGACCTTCTGTGTTTCTTTAATTCTGAGAACTTTCTACTAAGAACTGTTAACACTATTCTAAATTAATATTGGAACCTTAGAAACTTTGCCCCATACAAGATATTATCATTTTCTAAGTATTTCCTCCCTTCCTTTCCATGACTTATTAGTGTGTACATGAGGGGCTTCTACCAGATAAATTAGATATCTCAGTTCTCCAAAAGAAAAGCAGAAAATGTCCTCCCCAGGACCCAGTCACAGCCAAACCAACTGAGGGAAGGGAAAGTTGGGGGAAGAAGTGATGTGAGAGCTCCAAGAGTGGGTACTGTGCTCAGCTGTAGACAAATTCCGAAAGATCTTTGAGCAGTTTCTGATTTCTTTTTATTGATTTTCTTTTTGAGAGAGAAAGGGAGAAAGAAACATCTATCTGCTCTCTCCAGCATGCCCTCTACTGGGGATCTAGCCCAAAACCCGGGCATGTGCCCTGACCTGGAATCAAACTGGCAACCATTTGGTGCACAAGATGCCCAACCAACTGAGCCGAACCACCCAGGGCCAATCTCTGATTCTGTAAACGTAGCACATTAATCTATCTATGTGTAGCTGACTTAAGCTTGAATCAACAGATAAATAACATCAACAGAAACATGAGCACTGAGAAAGAACACATCCCTTTTGTTTACCTACTATTCAGTGGTTCTCAACCTTCCTAATGCCACAACCCTTTAATACAGTTCCTCATGTTCTGGTGACCCCCAATCATAAAAATTATTTTCATTGCTACTTCATAACTGTAATTTTGCTACTGTTATGAATCGTAATGTAAATATCTGATATGCGGGATGTATTTTCATTGTTGGCGACCCACAGGTTGAGAACCGCTATAACAACCATAATCTGGCTACACCCTTCACAAGGGTGATGCACCCCGTCTTCACTTCTTACCTGGCTGTTAAGATTTGTCTCAAAATATAATGATAGGTACTTTCACGATTATTCATCTAAAGCAATTAATAATTATTGTGCTATGTTACTTTTATTATATTTCCTATTGGTAATAGATTAGCTGACAACTGAAAAAATTCTATAGTTTCTGTGTTTATATAAAAGCATATACAAAATATGTAGAGACAAAAAGAATGGCAGGAATGAATGCACGAACAAGGATTTCCGGTGAGAACTTTAATTCCATAAATTAAGAATAAGTCTATACTTTAAGCAGAAATAATTTAGATACTCATCACATTCAGTAGGCAGGAGCATCTTCCTATCACTCATGCATCCTTGTCAGAGCATCAGTGGTTGGAGGGTTACTGAGCTTGATAAGCTTTGGAGCCATTTTATTTGCCCCAAGTGCTGGCTGAGAAGCAATGGGTATAGCTAGACCACAACAATTTTCACTATGAAGCTCTGAACCTTTGAGAAAGTGGCTAGAGAAGCATTATTAGTATATGCTGAAAATTTTCCCATTTTCTGATATTTTTAAAGCGCTTTCTTTAGAAAGTAACACAGTTATTCTTTATCCAGGTTATTAAAGAGTATGAAGCAAAGGCTATGTGAAAAAATTATGTATTGTCATGCACATATCCATACTGTCCTGGTGTTCAATATTAACACTAAAATAAAGATATTATTACCCCAAGATAAAAATATGCACAAATTTTAAATGAGTTTTTTCCAGAAACACACAAAAGGGATAAAAGTTTGTCGTTTAAAAATATTTAATTCTATTGCATATGCAGTTCCTTTGGGCCCTCGTTGCTCAACTGCTTACAGTTTCCCAGCTGTAAATTAACATTTGATTTATTCTGTGGTTGCAAAGAAATTTGTAACTTGTTTGTAAAATATTCAAATAAAGGTTGTCTGGGATTTTAACGTGTGTACTTGGTCTTAGACCACCTGTAGTACAGCTGAAACAGTGACAGGGCAAAGGATTATTTTTTCAAATGGTGCTTGGTTGGACTAGAATGTCTAAACACCAAGACTAAAAGCAAGGGCTGCCTACCTGATAATTAACTCTTTTCCTTTCCTCTTCATAACAGTCAAATCCCTCTGGTTTGGAAAAACAGATAGATGATAGATTAGATTAATGATAGATTGATGATGATGGTGATGATAGGTGATAGATAGATAGATAGATAATAGGTAGATAAAATAGACAGCAAGATTAGTGAGATCCTTAACAAGAGGAAGGAAAGGATGCTAATATTTAATAAGTGCCTCCTGTGGGCCAGATGTTTTACATATTTTTATTTATAGGTTTGAAGAGACTGGAAAGGTATATGAAACGTCCACTAAGGGCTGAGGGCAAATGCAGCCCAGGCCACTAGGAGAACGAGGCATCATATTCTGAGGCTGCTGTCGTGCCACCCCTGCAACCTGGCAGAAAACCAGGTGAGCCTCAGCTCAGACCAGGGCTGGGTCATGGCAGGTGCAACTAGGGAAAGGGGGAATTGAAGTTCTATGAGGCTCGGTGATGATCATTCCTTCTCGGCCCACGCAAGGCAAACACAGAACATTCATCGCAGTGTAGACACATGTGTACGCTAATACCTCCCTTCGTGCAGGTCTGGGAAGGCAGGAGTGTGGAG